CTAGGAGACTAGGAACCTGAAATCAGCCATGGGCAGAGGTGGGGGTCTTGATGAAGGGCCTGGAAGAGGAACTTGCCGTAGTTCCAGCTTCTGGTCAGTTGCTTGCTCGACACCTTTGGAACTTGTAAACTGTGTCCATGTCATTCCTGTCTCTGTCACTGTTGTCATACAGCTTCCTTCTTTCTAGATCTCTCTGTGTGTCCTGCCTCATTGGATTTGGGTCCCCCTACCCTGTAGGGTGATTTCAGCTTGATAGCTATCACTAGATATGTTTCTAAATAAAGTCCCATTTTGAGGTTCTAGGTATATACATTTAAAAGATATACATTTAAAAAGACACTACCAACCTGCTGCGAGCCTTTAGGACTCTTCCTTTCCCTCTGACATGCTTGGGATCATGGGTTAAAATTCAGTACATTTTGAAATTAAATATTCAATCACTTAATGCTTATAGGCAAGTTTCTATGTTTAACTCTGCAAATCTTATTTCTCTATGTTTGTCTGCCTCTCTCTCTCTCTCTCTCTCTCTCTCTCTCTCTCTCTCTCTCTCTCCCCTCTCCGTGTGTGTGTGTGTGTGTGTTGTTGTTGTTGTTGTTGTCATTGTCTTCTGTTATCCTATGTAAGTGAAAGGCTGACCTGGAGCACGTGTGGCCCAGGCTGGTCTTGAACTTGTGATCTTCCTGTCTCTGCATTCCAAGAACTACTCATCATGTAGACTTTTTTCTCAATTCTTTTTTTTTTTTAACATTTACTTATTTATTCAAGGGAGCACAGTTGCCGTAGCACATACGTTAGAGCCAGGACAGCTTGCAGGAGTTGGTTCTCTCCTTCTGCCAAATGGTATGACAGGAACATGTCCTCAGGGTATCAGGCTTATGTCAAGTGTCCTTACCGTCTGAAACCTCTCACTTTCACTACCTCCCAGACCTTATTTTTAATGACTGCATAGTGTTCTGCCACGCAAGGATCATACAAATGGTTAGGTGTATGGGATGGAGAGGTAGCCTGCCAGGCTTGGCCTCCCGTCTGTCCCTTATGGGTTGTATTGTGTCCTTCTCCTGTCCCACTTCATACGTGGAAATCCTCACTTACTGTCCCCTGGAATATGGCTGTGTCTGGAGTCAGGCTTACAAAGGATAATTGCGTTAAATGAGCTCATGTGAGTGGGCCCTGATCCAAAGTGACAAGTATTTCCTTTTTATTTTTTAAGTAGTGTGTGTGTGTGTGTTGTGTATATGTGTGCATGTGTGTGGGTGCATGTGTGTTGTGTATGTGTGTGAAAGAGACAACATGCATATGGTGGTCAGAGGACAACTTTGAGGAGTTGTTTCTTACCTTCCATGTTTATGTGAATTCTAGAAATCAAATTCTAGTTACTAGGCTCTCACGACAAGTACCTTCATCTGAGCTTCACCTGCTGGGCCATCTTGTGGGCCCCTGATGTGTGTTCTTATAAGACATATACAGGGATGGTCTTGTGATACAGAGAGACACCCTAGAAGAAATCAGGCCGCTGGAAGCTTGACCTCAGAATCTGGCCTCCAGAACTATGAGAGAAAGTTGTCTATGATTCTGTTTTGCAGAGTGGAGCAGCCATTGCTGTCCAGCAAGCAAGAGCCACAAGGCCCTGTTTTCCTTCTCTGTGAAACCACAGTCCCTGGGGCCTTGTGATAGTGTCATGGGAGAATGCTCTATCGGATGCCTGGAGTGTGTGGTCACAGACCTCTCAGCAATGTTGGTCCTTGCTTGAATGTCTGCAGAACACATGGGAAACATATGCTAGGCTCCTCCATGGCTTCTGCCTTATGGTGGGCTGTGACTTTGGAAGGATTCGTAGTCAGTTTGCGCATGCTCTCTGACACCTTGTTGCACATCTCCCACGAGGGGCTCTATGGTGGACATTCCCAGGGCCACACACTCTTATGCTCATAATTTGCCAGCAGCCATAGGAAGCTGCTCTGTGGATCTCAAGCAGAGCCACAGGGCTGTGGACATCTCGGAAGATGAAGTCTTCCTGGGTCTGCTGCCCACAGCTGCTTCCCAGTCCCTCTGGCACCTAGAGGTGACGAGAGCCAGACATCTCGAATCCACAGCCTAAGGACTTGGAGGCTGGCTGGGCATTTCACACCCGCACACCACAGGGAATGGCTCTGTGCCCTCGATACATTTTGTGGCGGGGCCAGCAAGATGACTCAGTAGGTCAGAGCATTTGTGACAGGAACTTAAGTTGGATTCTTGGATCCTGTGGTGGAGGAAGAGAACCAGTTCCCCAGAGTTACCCTCTGACGTAGGTCCATGTGCGTCCATACTTAGGTCTCCTCCACCCAAACCCATAATAATGAGACAAACCCTTCATTGTGAGTTACCACGTGGGTGCTAGGAATCGAACCTGGGTCCTCTGCAAGAGCAACAAGTGTTCTCAATTGCTGAGCCATCTCTCCAGTCCATACATAGTTTTAAAAGAAAAGTAAAATAGTTTACATTCAAGAACTGAGTTGGCAGAGGCAAGCAGAGCCTCTGTGGTGCTTGAGTACCATCTCCCAATGAAGCAGCAGTCCAGATTCAGTCTCCCACCTCCGCATACCCTGGGTGCCCCAATGCACCCCTTCTCTTCTCTCTGAGGTGTGAGCTTCAGAGTTACAGAAGGCAAACAGGATACTCCCACCCACAGAGACTTCAGATGAGAGGCCCTACCCCTGCTCCTGGTGCTGGTTGGGTTTGCCACGGACCTGAGGAAGTGACGGGGGCGAGGTGAGGGGAGTGTTGTATGGGGCTGCATGCAAGGACCTGGGGAAGTGACGTGTGTGTGTGTGTGTGTGTGTGTGTGTGTGTGTGTGTGTGTGTGTAGGGCTGCGCACGAACCTGGGGAAGTGATAGAGGATACAGGACTGCATGCCAGGAAAGGCCTTCATAGAGCTGGCTCCACTAGTCACACCTGGAGCATTTGTTCTGGATTCTGAGCTAGGTGGGCACATGTAAGATCCCCTGGGGGGGGTCCATGTACTTGAAAGGCTGAAGGATGCCTAGTGGTGAAGGGGGGTGATACCTGCTTAGCACATATGTGGGAAGCCTTGTGAGGAGAATAGCAGCTCTTATCCTTACCCTCCTTGCCCTGCTGCTGATATATATATATTTATTTAAATTTCAGAGGTGCTATATTTTCTTAAAAATGTGATGTGTCCAAATCTTAGCAAGTTATACCCACCTCTTAAAGATTACAAAATTGATACAAAAATAGGTAACTACTCCAGACCTGGGGTGAGATGGAAATATCCCCAGGGGACTGGCAGGCACAGGGGCATGGCAGGCACCAACTGAACAATTTATGGGCGGCCCAGTGTGCCAAAGGTTTCCTGGGTTGTAGTCTCCGCAGAATGGGTGGTTTGGTTCTCCTGCAGACCTCTTAGAACATGAAAGTGAAAGATGGAAGGCTCCCATCCTTTCTGGAGGAGCCTCTCATCTCCTGAGCAGATGTCCCAAGGCCCCAGCCCATGTGTATGTTGGGAGAAAGCATGTTTAAAAGATGTCAGGATTTTACTACCTATGTGACAACCCCACCTGACAGTGAGTGGCATCTTAGAACTTTTCTCTCAGCCAGACATGAGCTAGTGCTATACCAGAAAACACCCTGGTGTGCCTTGTGGCCCTTTAATCTGAAGGAAAGACAGAGACAGAGACGGTGACATAGAGACAGACTATGTCATGAAAAGATGATTCTCTACAGCAGGAAGGAGTGTGCCCTTCCCCCTCCCTCCCTCCCTCCCTCCCTCCCTCCCTCCCTCCCTCCCTTCCTTCCTCCATGTTGTATGGTAGCGAAGCAAGCAGGAGTGGACCCAGGATCCAGGGGACGTGTGCCAAAGACAGGAGGCTTTTGTGTAAGAGCCCTTGGAGCATGTGCCGGCAGGTGCAGCTCTCTCTAGTCCCAAGGTCTTGGGCTCCATCAGGGGTCCTCCTCAGCCCCGCTGTACCTCAAAATTACTACTTTCTTGAGAGACCTCAACCTGTGTAGCTCTGCAGGGGTCTCTGCTGCTGGCTTCCATTCTCTGTAACTGAGCCCTGGTCCCAAGGTGTCTCCTACCAGAGACTCTGCACGTACACCCTCCCTTGAATTAGATACATCTCCTCTGTCTCTTGGCCTGGTAACAAGTTTGAGGTCTCCAATACCAAATTTACTGGGTTGGTTTGTTTGTTTATTCTCAAGACAGGATTCCTCTCTGTAGTCCTGGCTGTCCCAGAACTTGCTCTGTAGACCAGGCTGGCCTCTACTTCACTAGATCTGCCTGACTAGGGTTAAATATTACATTTTAAAAAGATTTCTTTTTGGAGACAATGTCTTCTGTAGTTCAGGCTGGCCTCACACTCACTATGTAACTGAGGCTTAACCTTAACTCCTGAGTGCTAGAATTACTGTCCTGTGCCACAATACCCAGCCAGAGAACATTCTCAAAGGACCATTTGAGGCAAAGGTATGACTCAGGCTGTGTGCATCTATACTTCTGTGGTGATGGGCGGGGAGATGTATTTGTACACGTGATTCTCTAATCTGTAGTGTTCATTGAGATGATTGCACGATGGTCAATACTATACAAGAAGTCTGCCTTGTCCAGCACAGCCCCACACCAAGTGTTGTGTGTTGTTCTTCTCATTGTTATTATCTGTGTGTGCACACATGACATGTCTGTCATTGTGGGCAGGTGCATGCTATGGCATGTGGGCAAAGGTTGGAGGACAACTTCTGGGAGTCTGTTCTCGCTCCTTCTACTGCAGGTTCTGGGGATTGAACTCAGGTCATCAGGTGTGCGTGGCGAGCGCTTTTACTTGCTGAGCCAGCATGGATTAGTGTATGTGTGCGTGTGCATGCATGTGCCTGTGTGTGTCTCTGTGCATGTGTGTTTGTGTGTATGTGTGTGTGCTATTCTTTGGCTCATGGTAGGTATTTGACAGGGTGATTTATGGTCTGTGTTGGTGGTGGCCGTCAGACTCTCCTCTTTCCTCTTTAGATCTTCAATCTCATGAAGTATGACAGCTACAGCCGCTTCTTGAAGTCTGACTTGTTTCTGAAACCTAAACGGACTGAAGAAGAGGAAGAGGATCCTCCAGACGCTCAAACCGCAGCTAAGCGAGCTTCCAGAATTTACAACACATAAGCTGAGCCCTTCGCCCCCATGGATCGGAGGAATGGACTCTCAAAACTGTTCAGGATGTCATTGCTTTGTTGTGTTTGAGGACTGGAGTGTGCAAGACCTTCCCTCGGGATATATGTATTTTATTAACTCTTTGAACAGCAACCTCTGCATTATGCTAATCTTCCATTAAAAACAAAAGTAACCTTGAAGTTTCAGTTCACAAAACACGTGAGATTCCTCCAACACTGGATACTTGGAGCCTTTAAATCTTGATTAAAGTTTTCATGAGGCTACAAGTGAAGCCTTTAGTTACCTCTACTTTGTAAGCCTTTACTCTGCCCTTCCTGCCTGGGTTGTGTGTGTCCACAGACCCTCTTGGCTAATGACCTGAAGCACAAGTTGGTCTGACAATCACAGGGGTGGTGGGCATTGTTTGTGGATTGTTTTGGGGTTCTCAAGAAAAGTTCAGTACTGTCCAAAGCATATTGGGCGCCAGTTGTTGGGTTAGAGTGTGTGTGTGTGGGGTGTCCCGTGTCTGCCCTGCCATGGGGCTAGGGCCACTGCTCAAAAAGGCAGGACACAGGATTGGAGAAGTTTGACTGCTCTCTCACTATGCTGGCGCCTGGCGGGTGTCAGGCTGTGAGAAGTGGCTGCACCCTGCGGGGAGAGTCCTTGGGTTGTGGCAGCAGTTGGCTTGACTTGGTCATGGGCAGCTTGCTGGGGTTGGTGGCCGCTGTGGCTGGGAATGCAGAGAGGTCTACAGGAGATTAGACAGTGGCTCTGTAGGTGAAGGCCTTCTCCATTGCTTCCCATAGCAGATCCTGATGAAAGAGAAACAATTTATGGCTTATATTGTCATGGTGGAAAGCAAATGAGAAACAGTACCCCCCTTTCTCAGGGCAGGCCTGAGGTTAAATACATTTAACAGGGAGGAGTGTCTGGGAGGGAAAGCTTAATTGGCTAAGCCCTTCAGGCCTTTAGGTACCTCATTAATATGGAGATCCGTCTTGAGATTCTGTGGCCTGTAGTCACGCCCTCTACCTGTGGAGGGGCTAGGAGCATTGCCATATATGATTGAAGGACACAAATCTATGGAGGGCTGCAGCCTCTTATCAGGAGCCTGGAGTCTGGGAGCATGACCAAACTCCTACTATTCTTTGCAGGGGACGCTGCGGGGTCACCAGGGTTTCAAACCTAGCTCAACCAGAAATCAGGCTGCCTTTCATGGTCCTACAGCTGCTAATGATCTAGGGGGTTGAATGACCACATTTGCAAAAGGCTATTATTTCTCATGTGGTGGTCCTGGGCCCTTAATCTGTGACATTTCAGGCAACATACATTTAAACATCATCTCCACAGAAACACTGTCTCAGCCAGGAAGAAATCAAAAGAGAAATTGTTCAGGGGTGATGGCGGCTCCAGGTGGTATCCACTGAAGCCTCAGCACAAGATATGTGATGTTGATGGGATATTCCCCTTTTCCTTCATCCACTGAGGGACAAATCAACCCTGTACCTCCTACTCCCGCCTTTCTCCATTTGTGAACTCTGGCTTGAAATTCCAATAAGGGAAAGAAGTGCTATCTACATATGTTCAAGTTCAAGGCTAGCCTGGTCTACATATAAAGAAGCCTGATGGAGCTGGGTAGAGACTGAGAGTAACCAGTGGGTTCCAGCCACCCTAAGTCACTCCTCTTTTACAGTGGATCCTATTAAGGTCCCAGATCAGTCAGCTCCCTAGTGTCCACACCACTGGCAGGGCTTAGCACAACTGCCATCCAGCGTGCTTGCTAGGTCTCATTTTTACCAATAAAACCACAAGCCTCCCTTGCTTATTAGCCCCCGACTCGAGCTCTATCATCTGCAAAATCTCCTGCTGTTGAGGTAACTATGTGACTTATCACTTAAATCAGGACACTTGAGAGACAAGGTGAGGTACATTTTAAAATTATGATGACCAGGCATGTTGTAATCCCAGCTCTTAGGAGGCAAAGGTAGGTGGATCTTGATGAGTTCAAGGCCAGCCTGGTCTACATATAAAGTTGAGGCTAGCCATGGATACATAGTGAGAACCTGTTTCACAAAACAATCAAGAGAGATAGCTCAGTGGTTTAAAACATTTGCTGCTTTCCCAAAGGACCTGGGTTCCATTCCCAACATCCATAAGGCAGCTCACGAGTGTTTATAATTCCAGTTGCAAGGGATCTAATGCCCTCTTCTGGTCTCTTTGGGAACTGCAGGCTCATAGAACACATATCAAAGTAGGCAGAGCCCTCATACGTATAAAATAAAAATAAATCTTTTAAAAAAAGATATGTTTCCTGTAATGCATATATCAAAAAATAAATGAAAGCTTCTTTTAAAAACTTAAAAAAGAGCCGGGTGGTAGTGGCGCACGCCTTTAATCCTAGCACTTGGAAGGCAGAGGCAGGCAGATTTCTGAGTTCGAGAGTTCGAGGCCAGCCTGGTCTACAGAGTGAGTTCCAGGACAGCCAGGGCTACACAGAGAAACCCTGTCTCAAAAAACCAAAAATAAAAAAATAAAACTTAAAAAAGATAAATGTTCAAATATTATGAAAACCGAAAGGAAATAAACATTCAAATAATATTCAAATAATAAATATTTAAAATGACAAAATTCCAAAGGAATTATGGTGGCTCAACATCTCTGGTAAGCCATTAATAGTATGCCCTGATAATGACCCTCTGGTGAGCTTGCCCTGTCTGGACTCCTTAGTCTGATGCTACTTCCTGTCCTTTCCTCTTGATCCTGGAGGAGGAATCCTTTGGGGAGCTATCCCTGATGAGGATGGGGCAGCCACTGAGCATCTGCTGGCAACCACAACCCCTGGCTGTCGCACATCCCTCAGGCACAAGCTTCCTGTGGGTGTCTCTCTGCCTGTCTCTGGGACTTTGGACTGAAGGGAGATACTGAGAGTGACACGAGAGGGCCCTGCCCTGTTACCAGAGCCATCTAGTTACCTAAGCGGAGGAGACAAGTACCTCATAAAGAGCGAAAGTTAGTGATGCAGGTCCTCCTGCTCCTCCTTTGCTTGGCTGGCCAGGGGTGTGCAGATGGACCCTCTGCATCCCTGAGGATACAAGGTTCCCAGTCAGCACGGTTCGGAAAGCCCACCGTAGGCAGAGACCACCGGAGTAGCTGGAAGTCTCACGCTGACTTTCCCCTTTACACCGCTGGGTTCAGAGACTATTTTAGAAGACACTAAGTGGAATAAGAGGACTACAGCCAAAGGGGGCCAGCAGGCTGCTCGTATGGAGAAAAAAGAAGGCGTCCTCCCTCACGTCCGCTCTCTTTACTTCCTGGCCACCAGAATTTACACCAAACTTAGGCACACACAGAATTTTGTACCTGAAGAAGCGGTTGCAATGAGACTGAAACGTAGGGGATCCATGAAGCCAAATAGATGCTTCTACCCAGCCCCCCTCACACTTTTATCGTTATGTTTGTCTATTCAGTCCATTTCCCCCTCACCCACCCTCCCACCCCCTCTTCATCTACACATCCAGCATCTATCCACTCACCCACCCCTCACCCACCCGCCTGTCATCCCTCCATTCACTCACCCATCATCCATCCATCCAACATCCATCCATCCATCCATCCACTGACTAGTATTTAATCTAGGTCAGCAGTGTGCTGGGGATTGTTAGATGCTAATATTGGGGGGGGGCAGGTGGGTAAACAAACGTGACAATCCACACACCGTTGAAATCTATAGATCTAGTTCTTATTACAGTCTAGCGAGGCCAACAAGCCAGAAGACAGTTTCTGTTGGAGAGATCTGTTTGCTCACAGTTCCTAAGAGGAGGGGTGCACAGTCATGGCTGTACCAGGAGGCAGGACAAGGAGGGTTGGGGAATGAGCCTTTGTTGTCATTTCTTGGGTAGGACAAGCAAGGCCAGAATGTTTGGGATTGGCCAATCTGCATATTTTTACTAGGCTCCTGGATACGACTGTCCCCAGTTATCTTGTACCTGGCCATGCGGCGATGAGGGTGGGTAGACAGTAGCCCAGCATGAGGGAGCATGACACAGGTGGCTTAGTGTAGATGGTATGCCCCAACATGGTTGCTTTGCGTACAAAGGATACAATCCAGTTGCTCACGGCCTAGAAACTGGCAAGCTCTGGGAGGAACAGCCTAAGGTCACCAGGGTTCCAGATATCACAGCAGTAGAATCAAAAGACATGCTTAGGACAACGGTCTCCAGAGACCTCCACACTCAGCCTGAAGGCCGTGGGTACATTCTGCTGTCTTTGCCTGGGCATCTGTTTAAAATCTTGCTATGCGGTGCCTCAGGCGGCGAATGGCATCATCTTGTGGCTCCCAGGCTCTCTCTATTCCCTGCTGCTTTGTCTCAGGCCACTCATGCGCCTGTCACCTGCTTGTCCCCAGTGTGCACTCTCCTCTCCGTTTCCTGCAGAGAACACAGTCCGGGGACTGTTTTCTCTGACTTTATGGTCACTCATCCCTCTCCCCTCGCCCTCCACTGCTCTGCCCAGCTTTCTGAGAGCAAGCCATGTCGGGTCCCTCCCTGAGGCTTCTGTTCTGTCTGTCTTCTCTTTATCGTTAAAATTATGGTGTGTGTGTGTGTGTATGCATGATGACACATATATGTAGACCAGAGGACAGTCTGCCAAAGGTGGCTCCTGCCTCCCACCATGTGGGTCCCAGGAATTGAACTCAGGTGGTGTCAGGCTTGCAGGCCCTTACCTGTGGAGCTATCTCACACTCTTTACCTTCCGGAGCTATCTCACACTCCTGCTCTGGCTTCCCCATTGCAGACTCCTTCCTAATGGTGACAGGAACCACTGGAGCTTTCTTCTCTTAGTCTCCTCCCTAAAGAGATTTGGGGTGAGAACACCAAGTGGAATGGCAAATCCTTACAAATACATGCTTGTGAGGAGCAGAACCTGGGGTGAAGCTGTGCCTATCTCTGACCCAGCTCCCTTTTGGCCCACTCCCTCACTGAACAGAACCTTTGCAAGGTTGGGCTGGGGTAAATGCTGGTCTTTTGGCAAGCATGCTTATTTCTCACCCCACAGGAGTTTAATGAGCACCTACTACATACATCCTGAGCCAAATAATGGGTACACTGAGAATGCTATGGGAGAAAAGAGTGGAAACAGCTGATCAGGTCGTGACGCAACCGGCCCCAAAGTTGATGGGACACCATGACTGGCCAATTGTATTTAGCTCCAAGACTCACAGGCTAGGTTGTACTGGAGGTGTTAAGTGGAGATGCAAAGTTTCCGATGGATAGTGGGGGGTGAGTTCTGCTCTTCTTGGGGTG